ACTCTGGGTGCTGCTTTTAGAAAGAATTTTTCTGTTCTTGAGGAAAGCACAGCACAGTGTGAGCGTTAGTGGTGAATAATGCACCAAATGAATTTGAGCTACTAAGCGAGACCCTGAACTGAGTTACCTGAAGCACTTATCTGTATTTACTTCCGCAGCCTTTAGCTTCGGGGATTTCCGATCTTAAATTGAAAATTCAAATTTTAAATTAAATCAGCTGAATTTGAAAGAGTCCACGAAACAACCTCCTCATAGCACATTTCTTGCCAGCACGGCCTGTCGTCGCCCGTGTTGGGCAGAGGGGCGCGCGGGGCTGCACGCGCACAGACAGGCTCCCCGTGCCGGCACCTCCGCAAGCGCATATTCCACCCACGGGAGTTCCAGTCCCCTCCTGGCGACGTGGTCTTGGGACAGCTATTCCAGCAGCCGACAGTAGGGTTCACGATTTACCTTTTTTTGGTCACATTTCAATGCCTCAGTCCCATGGGCCATTTCGCAGTGGACAGTGACCCGCTGTAAATATGGTGACTGGTTCCTCCTAGAATTAGTTTCTATTGCAAACTCAAACACCACATGGCTGGAGAAGTATTTAATGCCGCGTACAAACACCTCGTATGCAGTGCCCCCCCTCCTCAGTTTGCTCGGCCTGGCTGTCTTCCGCCAAGGCAGGTAGCTACAGGCATCGGTCCTGTACCTTCGTTAGAGGTGGCGCAGCAGCACCTTAACCGAAGGTGTTGTCTAACCAAAGTTTGTGCAACATGGAACGCCTCACATCCAGAAAAGTCTACAGAATCAGAATCCAAAGGTCATTTATGCTCTTGTATCACTGTGTACATCTATGACTGAATTTCATATGTATAACAGAATTCCACCTTTCTAAATAAAGAAGGCGTCCTTTATTAAAAATAACGATTATCATCATTGAACTGTTTAGGAAACGGTCACAACCCTCAAAAAAGTAAAGCACATTCCTTTCGATCTTCAGGTCACACAGATCTCAAAAAGGTACAGAGCTTAACTTTCAGCTGCCGGCTTTGTACTCGCTGAAGCCAAAGGGAAAGCAGCCCCCGAATCTCGCCTAGGCTGCGCAGAACGGGGGCTTGCGCCCAGCAGCCGGAAAGCACAGCTTATGTATTACTTTCACAAGTATGTTTTACTTCAAGCTGGAGACAAAATAACTGTCGAATGCCGGAAATCAAAGGTTCTATGGCAAAATGAGGTTCTGCTAGTTGTCATATATCTCAGTCACATTAAAGACGTGACCTTTTTTACTAATCATTGGAGAAATCTGGACATTCAAGGCAATAATCTCATTATTTCATGTCCGTGTTCAATATCTGACCACAAAAGTGTGGATACGAATTCAGGGTAAAAGCACACAGATACGGATAGGAGCCAACTTAGTGGAGGCAACTTTCAGCCTTCGTAAGTACAATTTATTACCAGATACTTTTAGGAGTCAAAATATTTCCTTCTTTACACGGCATAATGGAATTTGTTCATCTAATTTGATTATAAAGCTGCACACTGCAGAGCTGAAGATGAGATAAATAGCTTTCTTTTTGGATAGTATTAAACACAGTTATTGTACGCAACACTCTCAGAAAGCCATAGTCAGGAAGAAACCCACGGACAGCGTTCGTATCAGTGGTGTGAGAGACTAAAGCCATGCCTGAATTTAATGGGTAATTTTTTACCCATATTCAAGTCAAAACCAAAGTATTCACTGACTTCCCTGCACCAGGATTTCAGGAGGAATAGGGGGCTGAAGTCAGCCCAGGAATATTAATTACACCATATTACAGTACAAGATGGGAAGAAAAAAGATAATTTTCCCCTCAATGTTTTCAAAGGGGTGTATTAATCTTTTTATTCTATTTCAGTGTCACCCAAAAGAATTCGGCAGTAATATCAACAATACTGTACCTGACGCGTTATAAAGGAAGTTTTCTAGTAAATTTTACAATTTACATTATGTCATTTAGACCTTAATTACTCTCTGTAAAACCTCACTGATATCTTTTCAAGTGTATCTCATAGGATTTTCCAAAAGCATAGGGGCGAGTCAGTTGCTGTCTCGTGAAACAGTGCTAATAAGTACATTAACCTAAGGAAACAGAGGTGGGTCCTAGGCACACGTTAGAGCCTATCAGTAGCCACAGACTCATTGTCCAAGACCACAAATGACCACGGTGGTGGCCAGCACCATCAGCCGGGGGCAAAGACTCGTATGAGGCAAAGACAGAGGTGGGAAGAGAAGAAACTCTGCCACCCCGCTGCTCTGTCCGCTGATGGGCAGCACCTCACAAGCCAGACAGGACAATGAGAGCCAGAAGGGGACCAGGGGAGGGGGTCAGCATGATGCGGCTTCAGGCACAACGCGCGGTGCCTTCTCCCTGCCCTCTGTGGCCACAGTTGGTTTCCACACTGGCGTGGTTTTGCTGCGTTAATGCAGAACTCGGTGCTGATGTGGTCACCTGAGCATGAAGTGCTGGAAAAGAAAAGAATGGAACGGCCAAGCAATGTGAAGGGAATCAGACACCAAAATCCGCTTTGTGCTCGCTGAGTTTATGCCCAGTAGCAAATTAATTCATAAAAACCACTGCCTGTGAGTGACAACCTGTAATCAAGGGTAGAGTCTTACTTTACTGACTGACTAGCGTGCAAGGCTCATTTCTGCTACTTTTCTGGATGATCCACAAACTAGAGGAAGCTGATGTGTTACTGTAAAGTGAAATTTGAATATACAAAGTGTTTTTACAGGTTTCATCTTACTTACATCTTTCCAGCTGCTGTTGTCATCTGTCTCCCATGTGTTCCTGGTAGACCAGGGAAGCCCTCCTTTTAAAAAGTGAGCGCTTTTATTTTCATTCCCTTCCAGCAGCCGTAGCAAGTATTTTGAGATTTCTTCCCACTGCAGATAGTCTTCCAGCTGCTTGATATTTTCAGGTAATGCTGAAAACGGTGTCTTGTTTCCTTCTTCATAAGCATAAGGAAAATCTCCAGTGCTCTTTTTCCCCATTAAGTGTCCTGTAAGAACAATGACGGTAGCATGAAATGAACCAAAACGGGTATAGATTTGGTTGTTCAGACATCAGCTGGAAGTTGTTACTGACCGATAGTATGGAGGGAAGGGAAGGGGTTAGATGGTGTCAAAGCTGATACGCAACTGGGACCAGAGGTTTAGTCACAGCGTCACACGCAATTAATTTCTCTTACACCGCATTGTCAGAGAAAATGTCACTGAGAACAGGACAGAGGTGACCAAGCGTTTTGCCAGGAGAGGCACCCGTTAAGATTTGCTGGAAGAAGAAGCGGATGGAGGAGCTGTAGGTTTTAGCCTCTCCCTGCCTCGACATGCGATGTGGGACCTGTCGCGTAAGCCCTTGTTCCGGCGCCTGCCTAGGAGCGAAACTGGATGCGCGTTTGGTACTCCGCGCTTCCCGGTCACCCAAACGCAAGGAGAGCGGGCTGTAGGCTGCCAAGGGGGCTCCCGGGGAGCGGACGGGGAGAGGCGGCGGCGAAGGAGCCTCCTCCGTCCCGGCGAGGGCCCGA